AAAATAAGAGTAGGTCAAGTATTTGAGAGCTATAATGGAATTCCTCTCCTTCTTCACTTCAAAACCTCATAAACAAAGAAGTCTTCAAGGATCTGCCCTAACAGGCTTATCTGCTTCATAAACTTCTGCCAGGAAAACTACACCAGCTGGAGGTGGCAGCCGGGAACTAGACACCATACAGCCAATTCAGCCTTGCTGGAAACATAATTCTGATGCAGACAATTTATGCCAACAGGAGAAGCATTTGGGTTGGCTTTACTAACACCACAGACTAAAATGATGAATTTTTGCTGGCAGAAAGATTACTCCTGCTTTTCTAAGAGAGGGCTTTATTGGCCAAGCTGAAGGAACTTTTAGGTTAAGTGGTTTTAAGAGCTCTAATACACAAATTTTTCAAATTGTCTTGAAAACCTCTTACAACAACAACAAAAAAGTTCACTGTCTATATTCTGATATGTCTCAAAGATTTCTGAAATAAGGTCACCAAAGAACAACATTTTTTCAAATATGCCAAGTCAAAACTGCCTCAAAGCTCGCTCCCTTTTTGTGCACACATACACAAAGCAAATAACGCTTCAATCTCACAACCTCTACTTCAGTTAGTCCAGTTAACTTTGAAAAAACAATACAGAAGAGAGTGCCCTTAACACCTGTAGTCCAAAGACAGTCACCACAAAAATCTCAAGAAGTTACTAGTTCTTGTCCCAGAAAGCTCTGCCATACAAAAGGAAATCCAGAAGTAGTGTGTTCTTCTAGGGAATCACAGCATTTCATTCTTCTCCTTTATGAGGTGGCAACACTTTTTTGCATATCAACAGAGGGTGGATGCAGAGAAACTGACAATAACTCACATATGGACTATCAGGAAAGAAACAGTCTCTGACTGTTTGGGACAGCAAGAGTTAAGCAACTGTCCTGCTTGGCCAGTTGAAAACAGTAGCAAAGGGTTTTATTTATTAGCATGAGCTGTAAACTGAACCAATGGACTATGGGCCTGGGAACAAACAAGTGAGGAATACATTTTTTTTAACACATATGCAAGCACCTTCTTGACAGGACACGAAAAGAGGGCTGGAGGAACATGACAATCCTAAGGGAAACTATTTTTGCACAAAGAACAGCAAGTGAAGGTGGAAGGAAAAGAATATAATAGTAGTCTGTTTCTTTAATCACTGCAACCATCAACAGTAAAACTGTTTAAAAAGAAAAGAATGTTAACTGATCTCAAACATCCATAGTTTTCAATTGCAAAATATAGCATAATCCCCATTTCATGTCACTAACACTGACAAGAGTGAGAGAGACAGGGGAAAAAAATATGAAGGAAAGCAGCAGGCTTTAGCCTGCCAAAACATTTCCAAATGTAAAATTCTATAAAAACTAGAAGTTCTACAAATATTATTTTGCCTTTTATTCAAAGCCTTGGGAAATCAAAAGCAATAAAAATTGAGGTGCCATATTAGGTTGTTCAAGTCTTCAGACTAAAGCCATTATCAAACACTGAAAACCAAGGAAAGCAGCTCTTGGACAACGTATTTTAGTTGTACCTTCTCACAGACCTCATGTTGTTAAAATCAGAAGAAGCTGTAAGACTGTCTCCAGAATGACCCTGCTGGAGCAGAGAGCTTGAACCAGATGACCACCCTGTAGTCCCTTCCAACCTGACCCATTCTGTGATTCTGTGAATACACTGCCACTCCAAAATTAGGTTTTGCATCAACTTCTGGATACTCCCTCCTCCCTTCCTCTCAGTACCATGTGTCCCAACAATATTACATACGCACACTTCCAGAAATTTTTTGCAGGTGAAAAATCCTGAAAATCTGCTCACATAAAGTCCCTAAGCAACACCACTATATGTTAAAATTACATTAATAATGAAAAATGAAGCTATTCAAACTGTCTATGTAAATGTAATTCAGCCCCTTCTGTGAACACAGCACAGCCCATGATCACTTTACCCATGGGACACCTGCCTTATTTCACACACAAGACTGTGCCTTCCTCAAGAATGGAACACCGACAGGAAATAAAAGGACTCTTGCACAGACTCACCTGCTTTGGCTGCAGAACTGGGCACGTACACAGGCCAGGACTAGTCATACATGTTCACTCCAGAAAGGGCAATACTTTACTTATTTGGTTTCAGACAAAGAAAGCAGCCAAGAAGTGACTCGGAGCCAGAGCACTTCTAATGGAAGAACAACAAGCCCTCATAGGCATTGTCTGCTCATAGACATAAGACATCCTTAACCCAAGCAATTCTTTGACTTCTAGGTGTCCCTTTTGATCAGTGCTAGAGCATTAACGAGGAACTTTCTGCGCCCACAGATGTATGGAGTATAAAACAGGAGATACAGAGAAAGCAGTAGTAAAAGATTCAAAGTGAATTGTTATACAGAAAAGAAAGGATGTGATTTCTGGCACACATCTACATTCTTTTATACAATTCCTTTTTTTTTCCCCCTCCCATTTCACCATGTGAAAATTCCATAATTTGGAATCATACCCAAATCCCGATCAGTCACCAACACAGTTTAAATCTTTTAACCATCCACAGTGTTATTTTGTGAAAAACAGTTGGATGTCATTTTTTGTGGACTAAGCCTTAGAAGGAAATAAGACACTTGGCCTGTGGCTTTCACAGATTTTTGTTGATAGTTGAAGAATGGCAAGATTTAATGATCTTGGACTTCTCTTCACACATAAAAGGGAACTACATTCTAGGACAAAGTTTCTCAATATGCGGTCTGTAAAACATCAGATGGTGGTCCAAAAAATCATCACAAAAATGTATTTTTAAAAACATACATTCCCATACATGCAAGCAAGAAAACATAATTGAGGAAAAAAATAAAACAAACATTCCAGCCTAACTGAACTACAATGCCTAAGAAAATGTGATCCTTGCATTTTTTTAAGGAAATTAAGTGTTCTTGAAACAACACATTCTCCTTTAACATTTAAGTTTGAAAACACTTACTTCTGTTCTACTGAATTTCCTTAGTAAGTCCCCTCCAGAAAATGCCTTCTTACATCCAGAGTTTCCCCCTTCATCCTACTTCCCTAAGCTGTTACCTGTTTTTTCCACATCCCACTACACTTTCTCAGTTTTCATTCTCTGTAGAGACACCCCTTAAAGTCATCTACTGAAGGAAGCCATCCATCCACTGAGCTCTTTCTGACTCTTTTCATTGACAAACTCTGCCTCAGGTATTCTGGTTCACCCTGAATTTCAGTTACCACTGTTGGAATATCCTTTATTTCAATGGTTCAGCTGCCAGAATCTGCTTTTTTAGGATCCTTGTTTTACCCATCACTTTTTTAAAATTACAGACACCTAGTCTACTCCCTGGATTAAGATCCAGATATAGCTATCCAGCCCTTGTCTTTCACAGTCTTCTTTTCAGGGCTAATTTTCCTTCCTAATGTCCAACAAAAACATCCTTGATCTTGTCTACTGTCAGTTGTATATACACACTTTGAGTTGCCTCTTTTTTCTCTAAGCCAGACAAACAAGCAACAATGACTATGCTAAATCTTGATACCAAAACAGCTCTGAATAGTCAGCCAACAAAGAATACTGGAGAAGCACTTGGAGCTTATAAATACAATATTAATAGCATACCTGAGATACTCTCCCTCAAAATCAGTATTACTGCTCTCCTATTTCCTGTATAACACTATCATAAAATTCAAGAATGTTAAATAAAAAAATGGTTTAAAAAACCCAACAGCTGGCAACAAATGCCAACTAACAGCCACCTTTTGATTTGAAGTACATAGCGCCTAACCTGAAATCCCATTTGCATGTGTTGCTCTGATGCTACACTCTTCATCAGTTTAAAAACTACAGTTTTAAAACCCTTTTTCCTGACATTACTAGTAACTGATTTTTAAAACTTTTTGTTTAACACAAGATATAACCTTTAAATTAAATACCCTGATTAATACATACACATTAACATAATTACATGTATTACTAAATATTTGATTATTCTGCCTTTTCAAGACAATTCTTTTCACAAGTCTTGTAAGTGACAAACTGTATCTGCATGAAAACAGACCTATTAAAAGCAATGAGAAATTTTAAACTCAACTAAAAGAGCTTAGGCAGGTACATATGCAAAAAATTGAAAAAACTATTTTGTATTTAAAACTGAAATAACTATGCTGTGTGGTGCTATCAAGCATAATGACTACGTAAATGATAGAAAAGAAAAATTTCAGAACTGATCTCTTTCTTGACAGTTCAGTTCTATTCGTGTATTAGAAATAACAAACTGATTTACTTCTGTTTTCAGTTTTAAATGGATTTAAATTAAATTTGAATAAGGTAGCAACCAGTTGAAACATTCAAAAATAAGAAGACTATTCACTTGATATCCACAGAAGACACTGTTGCATCTATTGATCTTGATATGTCAACAAATCCTGTTTCCCAGCATCTGGTAGTTGAGAGCTTTTGTTTTCCTGAGCACTTTGGCAAGACTCATGTGCTGTTGGATATGTGGGTTGGGGTGTGTGCTCTTTGTTTTGATTTGTTTTTAATTTGAGAATATATTCAGCCTGCAGTAACATGCATATTCATCATGAAATTCTAAGTTTACGTGCGTTTCTTTAATTAAAAATTCAATTTAATGTGTTTAAAATAGAGGTTTGATACAGCTTTCTACAAAGCCTCTTTATACAGCCTATAGTGTTATTTGGACTTTTCCTGACATACATGCAAGATTTTCTAGGAGTTCAGTTAGATGACTTTTCACCACCATGAGTAAACTATTCTATATTTTGAAATACTTTATGACACAGAAAGAATAAAACCAATATTTGGTTCTTGTCAGCAATTGAGGAAAACCATACAAAAATGTTTTGTTTGCTACTGAGATGAATATATGAAAAAGACATGTTTCCTTGGAATCTGGGCCTTTTTTTTTTTTTTTTTTTGTGCAATAAGAGATAGAGACTTCCAGCTTCTCAGGAAAATTAAGTTTGCATACCAGCACAGAATATCCCTGGGACTTCACTCCGGAATATAACAGTTCGTACTTTCTTATCAGATTTCAAAGCATCCACAGCTTTTGACATCTACAGAGAAAAGGAGGAAGGGGAATAACCAAACACTTTTTAAAGTGCTTCATTCCAATATTTCACCTTTATAGTAAAAACTATTCTTTTCACTTACCATTTTTACAAGATTTTTGCTAAGTGCATTCTTGGCATGAGATCTGTTTAATCCAAGCACCACAATTCCTGGAGGGGAAGAAATTATTGTTACAATGTAGTAAAATATGTATCATCTATGTAAAATATTATTACTTTGAATTACACAAGAGGAATCAAGGGCTGCAAAAAGAGTTTCTGAAAGAAAATAAACTTTCCAATAGTCGACAGAAATTACACGTTTAAAGCACAAAAATATGGCCCTGACACCTTCAGGTGGAAACAGTGCTTACAAAGGCTGAGTGTGGAATTACACAATTGCATGCACAAATTTCATGTTTGTGAGTGAAGTGCTGACATGCAATCAGGAAAGATCCGTAATTGTAAAGCATATGTTTCCATATTTAGATAGCCTGTCTTCAGAGACTTCTTAAGGCATGAAGTGCTACCACAGCTAAGACTAGCAACTCAGAGAGGTAAAAGAGAGTCACAAACATACAAAGAATACCAACAATGGGAAACTTGCACTTTTGTTTTAAAAAGGAACAAAATCATACAAAAGTTCTCCCCCAAGACACAGAAACCAAGCTCAATCCTTGGTACACAGCTCCAAAGACACATTCACAGCTCCCTTTGTCCAGATAAATCGGTTGTCTCACCAACTGATCACGCTGGTTTGAATGTTGCAGCAGAAACACCACTTGATGTCCTTATTCAGCCCCCCTCAGCTTAACAGGCATGATTATCAAACAGGAAAATCCTGAAAGGTTTATTTTGCTAATGTCTAAGCTTACTATGCCTATAGCAATCTTTTAGACAATCACTGCCTCAACCCAACACAGCTCCCTGAATTAGAAACGCAAGCACACTGATCCAGCCCTGGTAAGGTTTTATCTATCAGTACCTTTTATGCAGAGAATGCAGGGATGAAGAGAGAAAAGAGACTAGGACAGGGACCACAAATGAAAGGCAAAAAGGGAGCTCTACCTTAAACAAAAATATCCATAGTACTGCCATCAAGTTACAAGATAAAAAAAGAAATTCCAGAAACTCAGTATTTGCCCAGGTGATTACTACTTCACCACTCAGGTTTGAATGTATAACCTACAAAAAATCTGGCCCTCGTACCCTCCACAGGGTGCCTTCCCTGTCATCTAGGTGCATACTACTTCTTTTATTTCTGGAAATTCTGTCCTCCCACGGGACTGACCGTCAGTGCTTGAGTCCCCTTCCTCTGCTTCCTCCTGTACGTGTGCCTCTTTCTTGCTCCCAAGGCACAGTCAATTGCTATGCATGGATACCTCCAAAGAGAGGAGAGGAGCTGGGCTAACCCAAATGACCTTCACTCCCTTGTTCTACAAACCTAATTTCCACCTGTTTATCCCCATGAGTGGAGGTATTCACACAGCACCATCTGCAAGAGTGGTTGTTCAGCACTTACACAGGAATCTGTTTATGTTCTGTTAAGCAAAAAGGAGTGGTGCTGTAGCACTTCTCTGCTGTCACTTCTTCAGGAGCATCACTCCAAATTCAAACACTGTATATGTTCAATGCAATAGATTAGACAAATGCAACACCACACTTTAAAGAAACAAAAGATCCCTTGACCTCAATTTGATTTTAAACTTTCAGGCACATTACAAATCCCATGTTTGAAAAAAACTAGAGATGCTATTATCCCAAACCATACTCCAGTTAGGAAATATAATCCTTTTCAGAAGCACATTAATCTTTACAGCAATGACACTTAACAACACTTGAATTTTTCTTCTCTCCACTAGAGCCCAAAGACTGTCGCTCCACCACCAACAATAATCTATTCAGAAGTAAGTTCCAATTAACGTTAAAGCACATTCAATATTTTTTCCTACAAACAGATGATCCTTGAAAACAAATCCTACAAGTTGATTCCTCTTAGCAGTGTTGTATCAAGTCATAAAACTATCATTTCTGCTTCCTTCTCCAGAAGTAAGAGATAAAGATAACACCCATTCAGCTAATCTATTTCTTAAGTAGGAAAAAAAAAGATGAAGCAAGAAACGCAACAGGAAAAGCATAAGAGGTTTGCAAGAGAAAACTACATATTGCATTGATCTACACAAAAGACACTCCTCATGTTTCAATCAGTTTTGTTCTGATATGCCATTAAGACATCTTGAGCATCTTGAGGATGGAAGGGACCCTAAAGATCATCTAGCTCCAAGCCCCATGCAGTGATCAGGGACACCTTGCACTAGACCATGTTGCTCAAAGCCCCATCCAACCTGGCCTTGAACACTTCCAGGGACAGTGCACCCACAACTTCTCTGGGTGATCTGTTCCAGTACCTCACAACCCTCACAGTAAAGAATTTCTTCCTAATATCCAACCAAATGTGCTCTCTTTCAGCTTAAAGCCCTTATCTTATCACTATATGGCACTGCAAAAGGTCCCTCTCCAGACTTCTCATAGGGTTCCTTCAGGTACCAAAAGGTCACAGTAGGTCACCCTGGAGCCTGCTCTTCAGGCTGAACAATCCTAATTCCCTCAGCCTTTCCCCATAGGACAGGTGGTCCATCCCTCTAATCATATTCACGGCCTACTCTGGACTTGCTCCAACAGGCCATGTCCTTCCCGTGCTGAGCACCCCCGAGCTGGATGCAGTGTTCCTGCTGGGGTGTCCCAGAGCAGAGGGGCAGAATCCCCTCCCTCACCCCGCTGGCCACACTGCTTTGGATGCAGCCCAGGACACAACTGGCTTTCTGGGCTGTGAGTGCACATTGCTGGGTCATGTCCAGCCTCTCACCCACCAGCACCCCCAGGTCCCTCTCAGCAGGGCTGCTCTCCATCTGTTCATCCCCAACCTGTGCTGATACCAGGGGTTGCCCCGACCCAGGTGCAGCGCCTTGCACCAGGTCTTGTTGAGCCTCATGAGGTTCCCACAGCCTCACTTCTTGAGCTAGTCTAGGGCCCTCTGGATGCCATCCCATCCTTCAGGTGTGTCAACTCACCTGCACCACTCAGCCTGGCATCCTCTGCAAATTTGCTGAGGGTGCACTCAATCATTTAATCTGTCATTAATGAAGATACTAAATAGCACTGATCCCAATACAGACTTCTGAGTTGCCACTGATGTCCATGACTAGGTTGGTCAGGCAGGACCTGCCCTTGGTGAAGCCATGCTGGCAGTCTTGAATCACCTCCCTGTCCTCCATGGGCCTTAGCACAGCTTCCGAGAGGATCTATTCCATGACCTTCACAGGCACAGAGGTGAGGCTGATGGGTTGGTAGTTCCCAGGGCCCTCCTTCCTGCCCTTTTTTAAAGATAGGTACAATGTTTCTCCTCTTCCAGTCACCTCGGATTTCACCTGACTGCCGTGACTTTTTGATAATCCCTTTTACATTGTCATCTGAAGCATTTAATCATTGTTCATTCTTTCTAAAGCGCTCACATATAGATGTGCTTTCCAAAATCTTCTAAAATAAACTGCTTGAAAAATCTACTCGTAAAAGAAAAAAAAACTACTAAAAAGTAATCATTAACACATATAAGTAGAAATAATAATAATGATAATGATGATAATGATGATAATGATGATAATAACTGCAGTATCTGTATGGTATCAGAAACATGGCAGATATACTAAGAAGGATTAAGCATTCACATAATGCTAAATTCAATATTAATTTCATAGTTTTTCCTGGGAGCCATCCCCACATTTTTCTGGGACACACTTCAGCACATAATGTGCATCAATTAAAAATTACACCCACATACTGAAAACTAACTTCATCCATGCTGGCTAGGCTCTCCAAAAGATGATGATTCCCAGTGTTGTCTAATATAAGCAGTTATACTCCTGTATACTACTTTCCTAGCCAACCATCAGAGAAAAAGCATATGCAAATGTACATTATGTTCTCTGCTTATAAGTTAGCTCTGTCAAAAGAAAAAAACTGCCTGTGGTATAATTCTCAATGTTTAGGAGAATAAAATACAAAAGTAATGCATAATAAAAACAAAAAATGTCTTTTAGTGAAATAAAGATACATATATGTTTGAAAGACAGCTTCAAAATACCTGTAAATTCCCAGAAACACCCTGATTTCACAGCATCCGCTGAATTTAATATGTGCATAACATGAAGAGATTAGACCATGGTTTAACTACAGTTTTTATCAACACTCAGGAAATCTTACTTATAAATAATGATTTTTATCTCTTTTATGTTGTACTTTTTAGTGATCAAAACATTCATCCTCAATGTTTGGTAGAAATGCATTTATATGGTCACTTAGAAATAAATCCTGTCATTACACTCATATTAGTAATTTTGTCAGAGCCAGAAAGATTTACTAACCCACATAAAAAGTACTTGTAGAATTCTAAATTGTATTTATCTATTTGTATTAAATATACACACAAAAATGTAATCTTCCACAATTAAAAAAAAATATTTTTAAAAAGTCTGAATTATGAACTGAAAAATGGAAGGATGATCAAAGAGAGCTAAGTTACTCTTAAGTTGGTCTCACTTAACTACTCAGATAAACCAAGGCAAACAAGTTGACTTAGATATTTATTATTCTGGGATAGTTTCTTAAGTAAAACAAGAACATATGGTGAGCATATCATGCACAATTCTGGTGGCTTCCATTAACAACCTTATCAAGAAGTATTTAAGTGCAAAATCACACCAATGTTTACTAGACAGTACTTTCTAAAAACACTCTTCAAAATCCCCATCTGCACCTGTTTCATCTCTAAATACCACTTCAATTTTTTTCTGCACTTCTTAAACTAGTAGATCTCACCTGCTCAGCCCTGCTTTAAAGATAGCAGGAAAAGTATTTCCAATTCACCAGCTAGCTATCAGTTTCCAACCTCTACTCTATGCAAACAACTTCAACTGAGACCATATTTGTTCTGCCTGTTCTATGTATGTTAAAATTCCAACTGATGAGGACCAAAAGCTGTCTTACATACTCTACAGTGAACTAAAACCAGCTGGAAAACTTAAGAAAAACAAGTCATTCTAGTGTAAAATCTAAATTTTACAAATGTTTATGTCACATTCCAACAAGTGACACTGTAACACTGGCGTCAAGACTAAGAAGATATTTCTACTAAT